GCCCCCTACTGGGGATGTGCCCGAAACCAAGGTACATGCCCTTGACTGGAATCGAACCTGGGACCCTTGAGTCCGCAGGCCGATGCTCTATCCACTGAGCCAAACCAGTTAGGGCATTAGCCTCTATTTTTAATCTTAGCCTGTCCTCCTTGGGAGATCGGTTCCAATATACCTCAGGAAATTTTCCAACACTCTATTGAAATTCTTTTCAAATAATTTGGTGGGCCTGACCACTGTGGCTCAGTGGTTGAGCACTGACCTATGAACCAGAAGGTTACAGTTCAATTCCCAGTCAGGGCACATGCCCAGGTTGTGGGCTCCATCCCCAGAGGAGACATATAGGAGGCAGCCAATCAATGATTCTCTCTCATCATTGATGTTTCTATCTCTCTCTTCCTCTTCCTTCTTCTCTGAAATCGATAAAAAATATATTTTAAAAATAATAATTTGGTGGTCTATTCTATAGGAATAGAGCCCATAATTCTAACTTGGCATATGGGCACCCAGAGTAGAGACTATATTTTTCAGTCTCCCTTGGGGCTGGATATAGCCATATCAGACCAAGTTCTGGGCAAGGGGATGTCAGGAGAAGTGGTGAGTGCAACTTCTAGGAAGTGTCCTAAAAGGGAGGGACATGCTCCTCCCCTCCCCTTTTCTCCTCCTGGCTGGCGGGAATATGGGTGTGTGTGATCACTGGCACAGAAGCAACCACCCAGGATCAAGGATACAGGCCAGCGACAGCTTGAAGATGCCCAGCCCTGATGAGAGCAACATGGACCCTGGGATGCTTAGGTCCAGACTTTGCTACCTAAGAGAGAAATAAACTTCCATCATGTTTAAACCCTGTTGTTTCTCATATTTTCTGTCATTTGCAGCCAAATCTTTGCATTCTAAATACAGATCGGGCCAAATTTCCTTCAAAGAGAATTCCTATAGGGGGCCTGTTACCCACAACAAACTTGGTGCTACCCAATTTTAAAATCTTTGACAAAAAAAAAAAAATCTTTGACAAATTTATAAGTGAAAAAAAGTTATTATTATATACTGATAAATACTAATTCCTTGAATACTTGTAAAGAAGTGGAAGGGTAAGAAGGGAAAGGTTGGGGAAGGAAAGGACAGATTTTCATAAAGCATAGCTATGCATTTCATTTATCATCCTATATAATAAAAGCCTAATATGCAAATTGTCCCCTCAGGTGGTTGTTTGACCGGGAGTTCGACCACTCACTATGACATGCGCTGACCAACAGGGGGTGGTGTGGAACATGGCTGGCATTGGTGATGCGGCACTGGCAGCAAGTGGCAGTGGAGGCACTGCCAGCCCCAATGGGCCCGGACGAGGGTGGGATGGTGGAGCAGGTGAGCGAGCTCTGCCAGGCCAAGGTGGGGTGCCAGGCAGGGATATGGGGCTGCAAGGCTGCAAGGCTAGGGGCACGAGCTGGGCCCCGATCCCCACAGGCCACCCTGAATTCGTGCACCGGGCCTCTAGTAACAAATAATTAAATTAATGGTTTTATGTCATGAAAGACTGGCGATCTTGCTAAATGCAGCAGTTTAATGTGGTTTGAGAATTGAGAAGTAGAAGAGAACTTTCTTAGCAGGTAGTTTAATAAGTTCTTTGCGTAGAGACCATGTCTGACGATTACTGGGTAGCACGCTCCTTTTCTTACTCTCCCAGCCCGCTATGGAGACTAACCGTACTAGGCACAAAGCAAGAACTCATGGACTGATTTTCTCCTCACCTTCAGAAATCAGTGATATCGGCCAAAGGTATGATGACATTTTGTCTCCTGGCCCTGTCCAAGAAAAGAAAATACATTTAAAAATTCTATAAACTTTGCATAAAGTCACTAAATTCAACTGCCAGTAACTCCCAAATAGGCTTTATCTTATTTATTTATTTATTTATTTATTTATTTTCTGCTTAATCCTCCCCCGAGGATTTTTTTTCCATTGATTTTCAGAGAGTGGAAGAGAGGGAGGGGGAGAGGGAGAGAAACATCAATGTGAGAGAGACACATGGATTGGTTGCTTCCTACACAAACACCAAACCTACAACCCAGGTATGTGCCCTTGACCAGAAATCAAACTTGAGACCCTTCAGTGTGTGGGCCAACGCTCTAACCACTTAGCAACATTGGCCAGGGCATAGGCTTTATTGCTTTTAAAAGCAGTGCATACACAAAGTCTTTGACCCAGCAATTCTACTTCTAGGAACTTACCGCAAGAAAATAATCAGATCAGTGGGCAAAAAGTATGTACAATAATGTTTATTGCAATGCTATTTATTTATTCTTTTTAACCCTCACCCAAGGATATTTTTTCATTGATTTTTAGAAAGAGTGGAAGAGAGAGGGAAATATCGATGTGAGAAAAAAGGGTTGGTGAGAAAAATTGATTGACAATCTGTTGGGTTGAGTCTTGTAGGAGATTTTCTTAAATTTCTACTTTGCACTTATCTCCACTCCTAAGATTCTGCTCACCTTTTTCTTGTCCTACTTTTGCTCCTTCAATCCTTCCGTCCATCTGAATTCACTCTCCTCCCCATCCTCACTCCTGTTCCATTTATTCATTAAGTCTATCTGCAATAAGCACCTTATCATGGGTTCTGACACTTCTTCACTCAGAGAAAAAGTGGATGTTCCCGTTCCTCTTTGCCAACTGTTAATAGCAGGTATCTGTTCTAATTCCACCTCTCCAGTAATTCATAGAACATGTAAATAGGATGAATAGTCTCTAAAAGTTGTTATATTTCTGTACTTCTATATGTGTTAACCCCCCTACTGATTAATGAACTGATTGGCGAAGAATATATGAGAGAAGAAGAGAATCAGCTATTCCCAGGAAGGGATTATAAAGTGCTCTGAACTAAACCAATATGATGTACCAACCAGTAAAAAAAAAAAAAAAAAGTCAAAGCTGGTGAGTGTCTTTGTTGTGCAAAATAAAAATAGCATGGTGACTACACAATGGCTCAGTATCAAAGGAGAGGGAAAATGTTGAACTCCATAGCACATGACTGAAAATTCACATCTAAAATACATATTCAAGTCCACCTTCCGTCAGCTGAAGAAGATAAAGAGCTTAGAACAATCAGGGATTTAAAGTGCTGCTGTGTGGTTGCAAACCATCACTTTTAGACATGGCATAGGCTAGTGCAGCCGTGGGCAAACTACGGCCCGCGGGCCAGATCCGGCCCGTTTGAAATGAATAAAACTAAAAAAAAAAAAGACCGTACCCTTTTATGTAATGATGTTTACTTTGAATTTATATTAGTTCACACAAACACTCCATCCATGCTTTTGTTCCGGCCCTCCGGTCCAGTTTAAGAACCCATTGTGGCCCTCGAGTCAAAAAGTTTGCCCACCCCTGGGCTAGTGGCTAAAAGCATGGACACTCATTCTGCTCCTTAATCCTCACACTTCAGTTCCTGCTGGGACTGTTAGGTGAGTTAACATATGCCCCGCCCCGTGGACAGCATCAGGTGCCAAGGAGAAAGCATGCTAAGGAGGGGCGGTACCCGCTGTGTTTGAGAAATAGCAAGGACACTAGTGCCACAGAAGCACAGTGAATGAAGGGGATAGATGAGGTGAGAGAGATTACAAGGGCCCTGAGGGGCATTTATTCAGGGAAATGAGAATCGTAAAATGAATCACTCTGACTGCTGAGCTGAGAAAAGACTATATAGAAGGAGATGGGAGTCCAGTAGGGAAGGCAAGAGATAATGGGGTCTCAGGATAGTAGTGGAAGTGGTGAGAGGTGGTCAGATTCTAGATAAATCTGGAAATTAGACCTACAGAATTGGCTGATGGTTTGGATGTGAGGTATGAGATAAAGAGCCCAGGAAAGAAAGGATGGAGTTGCCACCAATAGAGACAGAGAAGGCTGTGGGGAAAGGAACAGTTGGCAGGATCAAAGCTTCAGTTTGGAACTTGCTAAATCTGAGATATTTATTAGACATCTAAGGAACCTAAATGTAAAATACACTGTTCTTTCATGCAAGTACCATGCAGGTTGATTTTTTAAAATTTTTGTATTCCTCTAACATTATGCAATTATATGTGGTCACTGAGTCAGGTCCTTTAATAGGTATCATAACAGGAGCAGCATCTGTGGAAAGAACCTGGCCTTTGGGGTCAGCTTTGAATCCTGCCTTTGATTCTTTTTTTAAAAAAATATATATTTTATTGATTTTTACGGAGAGAAAGGGAAAGGGATAGAGAGTTAGAAACATCGATGA